CTTCTGGCCTGGAATGTGAGAGGAATTGGACCAACCCTCACATTCCGTTCTGCTTTAAGTTTAGTTCATTCAAATAAACCGGACATTGTCTTCTTTTCTGAGACAAGAGCTCGCCGGAAAGTAGTCTCCCGGCGTCTCCGGGGTTTAGGTTTTGAGTTGTCGCATTCTTTCTTTGTTGATGTCGTGGATGCATCTGGTGGTCTTGTTATTGCTTGGTCCCCTGAAGTTGCTACTTCAGTGTTTTTTCATTCGGAGTTCTGTATTGGTTTGGAAGTTAATGAAATCAATTTTTCCTATGTGGTTTTTTGTGTTTATTTAAGTTGCAATTCCGCCCTTCGTGCTACACAATTGGCTCATCTTCGAGAGGTCTGTGCCACTGTCCAGCTTCCTTTTGTCGTTATTGGTGACTTCAACACCACCTTGCACATGCAGGAAAAAGATGGGGGTAATGTCTGGAACGGTGCGCACTCTTCTAGTCTCCGCGATTTCATTAATGACCTTGGACTTCATGATCCCGGGTATCAGGGGGATACATTCACTTGGACAAATAAACGTCTGGGTAATGCGTGTATCCGCGAAAGACTGGATAGGGCCCTTTGCTCCCAATCGTGGGTTGAAAAATTCCCAGATACTCTTGTGAAACATTGCACTGACCTCGGATCGGATCATCGGGCATTACTGCTAGCGGATAAACCTTTTGTTCGCCAGAGTCGCCCCCTTTTTCGATTTGATGCCCGGTGGGCGGATAACCCGGAAGTCAGAGCAATGGTCAGGTACGTTTGGCAAGAGCAAATCTCGGGGACTCCGATGTTCCAACTCTGGGAAAAACTTAAGACCTTGCGGCATCTTCTCTACGATTGGAGTAGGGCTGGGACTACCAATTCGCTTCGTAATATCAAGACTCTCCAAGTCAAGATTGAACATAGTAAATCCCAGCATACCATTGATTGGGAGAAGATCAAGGTCCTGGAAATGGAGTTGAATCGACAATGGGAAGCAGAGGAGGTGTACTGGCAGCAGAAGTCAAGGGTTCATTGGCTTCGGAAAGGTGATAAAAACACCTCTTATTTCCATACTGTCACTCGAGTCCGGCGGAAAAAGAACTTTGTTGCTGGTCGGTTTAATGATAATGGTGAATGGATTACTGAGGAAAAAGGGAAGGCGGACATTGCCTGTCACTTCTATCAAAATCTTTTTACTTCAGAGAATGAGGTGCACAACATGAAAGAGCGGGTCAATGGACTTGCAATTGCTCCTAGTGTAACTCAGGAGATGAATGAGAAGCTTACGGCGGAGGTTCTGCCTGATGAGATTCGTAAGACAGTGTCTACTATGGGATCCAAGCAGGCCCCTGGATCGGATGGCTTTACCGGGAAGTTCTTTAAAGCCTTTTGGGATATTGTTGCCGACTCGGTAATTAATGTTGTCCGGTCTTTCTTTGCCACAAGCAGGATGCTTCAAAGCTTTAATCATACTTGGCTAACTTTGATTCCTAAGGTGGATAATGTGGAGAACATGAAGGAGTTGAGGCCAATCAGCCTGTGCCAGTTTGTTTACAAAATCATTACCAAAATCATGGCATCAAGGCTAGCCAATATCCTACCGGGAATTGTTTCTAAAGGGCAAAATGCGTTCATTCGTGAACGACAAATTATAGAGAACATCTTGATTGGTCACGAATTGATGCACTATTTGAAAATCAAGACGCTAGGTAAGAAAGGGTACATGGCTCTAAAGGTTGACATGGAAAAAGCCTATGATAGAGTTGAGTGGCCCTTCTTGATCGCTGTCCTGGAAAAAATGGGGTTCAATTCAGTGTGGATAGGGTGGATCCATGAATGCCTTCGATCAACTTCCTTTTCGGTCTTAATGAATGGGACCCCATCAGGGTACTTCAGGCCGACGCGTGGGCTTCGTCAGGGGGACCCTTTACCCCCCTTGCTTTTTGTGATCTGTACTGAGGGCTTTGCTGCGCTTCTACGCCAGGCAATTGCTGATAAAAGGTTAAGCGGGGTGAAAGTTGCTCCCAGAGCTCCCTGTATTTCGCATTTATTTTTTGCTGATGATTCCTACTTGTTTCTTAGAGGCAATCTGCAGGAATGTGAAAATCTGATCGAAGTTCTCAACGAATATGAGGAACTGAGTGGGCAACGGGTTAATTTAGGCAAATCCGCGGTTTGTTTTAGTAAGAATGTAACCCTCGCTGATCAAGAGTTCCTGGCGGCAATTCTAGGGGTAGGTGCGGTTGGAGTCCATGATAAGTATCTGGGCTTACCGACCCTGATTGCCCGTTCAAAGATGGCTACCTTCCGTTACCTGGAAGACAAATTGTTGGAGAAATTACAAGGCTGGAAGCAACGTACTTTGTCGTGGGCAGCAAAGGAGACCTTGATTAAGTCTATAGCTTTAGCGCTTCCACTTCATGTGATGTCTTGTTTTAGACTGCCTTTGACTTTGTGTAAGCTTCTGGACAAGCATATCGCTCGATTTTGGTGGGGGGTGACGGAGGGCCAGTCAAGAATTCACTGGGTATCCTGGAAAAATATGTGCAAAAGTAAGCATGATGGGGGCATGGGCTTCCGTCGATTTGAACATTATAACCAGGCTTTGTTAGCTAAGATTGGTTGGCAGATCCTCCAGGATCCCCAATCCTTATTGGCGCAGGTCTACAAAGGCAAATATTTCCCCTCAGGGACCTTTCTTCAAGCAAAAGCTCGTTCGAGGCCTTCCTGGGGTTGGCAGAGTATCCTCCATGGGAGGCAATTGCTTGAGCAGGGATTACGTTGGCAAATTGGGAATGGTGAATCGGCTTCCTTGCTCTTCTCGAACTGGATCCCTCTCCTGCATCCTGAGAAACCGGTTTATAATCCGCAGGTGCTCCCGACTGAGGGAGACCCGAGGGTGGTGGAGGTTATATCTCAGGATGAGGGAGGGGGTTGGTGCGAAGCCAAACTGAGTCAATGGTTTGACCCTGGTACGTGCAGGAAAATCTTGGCTATTCCTCTTCCAAGACAGGATCGGCCGGATAAGTTGATTTGGCATGGCACGTCTGATGGTGTGTTTTCTGTCAAGACTGCTTATCACCTGGCGGTAGATCTGGCTCGAAGGAAAGAGTGTTGGCGGGCTTCGGCCAGTTGGATGGATAGGGCCAGCTGGGTCTGGCTTTGGAGCTCTGATATCCCGCCGAAGTTGAAGGTATTCATTTGGCAGATTTTCCATCGTATCCTCCCTACCACTGAGGGCCTTATTGAGAAGAGTGTTCCGGTTCTCCCGCGGTGCCCAGTTTGTTGGGAGGCGCCGGAGACTATGGAACATCTTTTCTTGGATTGTCCAGTGGCGAGGGCCTTATGGGATTACTCGGTTCTGGAACACCTAGGGCAAGGCTTGCCGCGGCACACCTTTCCGTTGTTTCTTAAGAGGTTGTTTGCCTTGATTCAACAGCCTCAACTGATTATGGCCGTGGTAGCGGTGCTGTGGAGAATTTGGAAGTCGCGCAATTGGGTGGTGTTTGACGGCAAGCAATTTGATTTTCCTACCCTGATGCGTCAGTACCACCAGCAATGTGAAGAGTGGAAACGTGTGCCTACTGAGGTGAATGAGGTACGGCGGAGCCCTATTGCACGCCCGCCAGAGGGGCGGGAGTGCTCCTCGCTGGCTTGTATGTGGGATGGAGCGACAAGGGCAGGGTCTCACTCGGCAGGTGGCATTGTGCTTCTTGATTTCAATAGGGAGATCCTCCGGGTGGTAGGGATTCAGTTTCAGGCTATTGAGGATCCTTTGGTGGTAGAAGCTCTAGTTCTCAGGGACGCCCTGTTATGGTGCGTGGCTAATGGACTCCAGGAGGTGCGATTTGAAGGCGATGCCAAGGTCATCATCGATAAACTTAATCAAGCGGAGATTAGAGATAATAAGATTGGGGTGATTTTGGAAGAAATCTGGCAATGCTTGGAATGTAATCCGGGGTTTAGTGTGCGATTTGTAGGTCGGAGGAACAATAGGGTAGCCCATGTTGTGGCTAGAAAGGCCCTTTCTTTGTACCCGTCTACGTCTCGCTTGTTTAATTTTCAGGCCTGGCTGTTTTCCAGGGTGTAACTATGTCTTCTTTTAATCAATATATGATTATCTTTTGTCAAAAAAAAAAAAAGGGTCGTGTAGTAGTGAATGAAAGAGTTTCGTTGAGAAGATAAAATACACAATAACTTATATTTCGATATTGATTGATATTTCGGTATATACCGATCTCAATCCCGTAATCTCTAATACCGAATTACAATTGAAATTCAATCCCAATCTCAAGACATAATACGTGTATTAGTTAATACTAAATATAAACAAATTCGGTACGGTATTTCATATATCCCAAATACCGGTACTAAACTTCCAGCCCTAGACGAGGCCACTTATCAATCTGATCATGGACTTAGTGATCATGATGCTGTGGGCGTTTGGCCCATAAAAGCTCCCTTTCAGATCCATACTCATCCGTAGGCCCAAACAACAAAATCCAGTGCGGGAGCCATCTAAAGCTTTCTATAAATGGGAACAATTAGGGTATATCTGCCAACATCAAATCAATTTGAAGCTCCTTGCCTCTTCTCATCCACGCCGCAACCCTAGTCTGTCTTTCCGTGAGAGTTAAATCTCAATCATCTTATTTTCATGAAACTCTTCGCAAATTTTCAACTGGGTTCGGCCGTTCTTTCAATCTATGTTTCTGTTTTGTGAAATACCGCTCAGAGTTCTTCCTGGAAATAGCTTCAATGTGAAAAACAGCCTCCAGGATTTTATCTGTGCGTAAATCAAAGCATCAGTTGCTTATCCTTTCTGCTTGAGCCTTCTCCCAAATCAAAATGGAGTCGCGCTCCAATGTTATTGGATCACATTTTCACAAATTCTCCCTCTACCAGCTGGCTATATCGATTAAATTCATTTTTAAGACAACATAGATGGACAAATAAACCCAGAAACAAGATTTTTTTTCTTCAGTTGCACGATTCAATTTTAGATCAGTAGGTTAATTGGATTCATCTATCACTCATATGTGTTAAAGGGTTTCTTTCTTTCTTTCTATCCTCCAAGGAAAAATTAATTTTCTCTTGTTTATTAAAAATCTCATACTATGAATTGGAAGCTTGTATTGATTGACAAATAAAGCCAGACATTGTTAACCATTCTGTCCTGTTTTCTCCTATCAATAATCCCATTCTGGGGTTGAATCCCTGACGCGTTTTCGTTTGTTCGCTTAGACCAATCATCCCTTACATAGTTACATCAAAGAAATGGGTAAAATCTATTTGCCGCACATGTTGGTGATTGACAGGCAAATATTGCACAATTGGGTGAACACTTGATTGGTCTCTGTCATTGGCGACTTAACCGCAGGAGGCTCCTTGAACCCATCCTCGCACGACTCCACATCCTGCACCGCGGCGGTAATGAACGTGATCACATCGTCGTACACCTTCGAATCCAGAGCAGGCATGGAGTCCTCCAGCTGGTCAATGGCGTCCTGGTAGTTCTCAGCGCAATCGTTTAGGCGCTGCTTGGTCACGTCGTCCGTGGCCGGATTATGCTCCATGGTCTCAATCTGATCGTGGGTCTTGCTCGCATTCAGGGACGTCATCTTGATCGCGAATTTGGCCAGCGCGTGGATATCTTTCACCTCGGATTCAGGGAATGAGGCGAGGAACGACCTGCAGAGGTCCTTTGTGAGCGGTGTGTTGTCGCATGCTTTGGCTAGGAGCTCTGGCTTGGTCATTGTTGGACCTGTAGCTGAAGCGGAGGTTGAAGTTGAGGGTCCAGGTGCAGCTTGTGGTGCTTCTTGAGCATGAGCTTGGTGACATGTTGTGATGGTGATGAGAACTAGGAGGAATGTGGAGATGGAGGTGCAATCCATGCTTGCTTCCTAGGAAAGTTGTGATCTTTGGATTGTTTTTGGGTTCAATGGGGAAGGAAGCTGGTTCTGGTGGCGTTCGATTGAATTGGGTTCTTATAATTTTGGGGTTAATGTTGGGTTATGACAAAAGGAAGTGAATAGGTATTTTTGGGTTGCCATTCAATAGCAAAAGAATCGCTTGGCCATTCATTTTGCTTTGGATCATTCAACCGCTCTAAGTTCTAACTAATTAGAAAAGAAACAAACATGTGGTGTGGTCGTTATCAACTCTTCCTTTTTTTTTCTCTAAGTAAAAACTAACTAATGTTACAAAAATAGATCTTTTCATCTCTTTTTCAATTGATCTTGATCAATGAGACGAAAATTGAGGAGTTTCTTTTTCTTGTCAATTTCTCTCCATCCACATGATTTTTGTTGCACCCTCCTATTTCTATAATTAAAGATGGTTAACTTAAGTTTGTTGTTATTTTTTTCATATGAATATGTTAATTAATTGATTAGGATAGAGTAGTAGAAGTTACTGTACTTTTCTGAATGCAATTTAGTTGAGTCAAACTAGCAACATTCTATTGAAGCTAACACTTGTCGAGCAAGATTTCTCAAGTCCCAACTCCCAAGGCCTACATGGAGATTCATAGAGCAAGTCCTCATCCCATTCTGAGACTCATACCTATTATGCAAGTTTTGGAAAGTAAGAGACTCCAAAGACATGTCACATTGATGAGAAATTTTTAGCTCCAACCACAGGCTCCAATTTGCCACTTGGCAGTTCACTATTGGTTATTTTATATCTCTTTCTCTTTATTTTAAATGCTTTTATTATTGTTTTAAAATTAACCAAAACTGGAATAAGAAAAACAATATAAAATATGACGGAAACAGCATGGACGGAAATCTGTAGCCCCAACTTGTGAGAGAAGGGTTTGGTTACACTTATATTAGGTTAACTTCTTCTTCTTCTTCTTGTAAAAACAAAAGCTGAAGCCGCACAAGCCATTGTTGAGAAAATCCCATCTCGAGGAGCAGCAGGGAAACAAGGTTAGGTGATATATTCTTTTCTTTCCACAATCCAACATAAAATAACAGTACATAGTAGTAGCCATGGTAGGTGATTTGATTGGTAAAAGTAAATTGTAGGTAGGTGGTTTTGTAATTTCGTTTGGGAATTCTTAACTATTATATGTTTGTTGAATTGATTATTGAAATCAAAAGCAACTGTATTATGGTGTAGCAGGGACATGCATGTCAAGACTTTAGTAATTTAACTTGTTTTCGATCCCCTCTTGCTAAGCTTTTTAGCTATGGGTGTTATGCAGATATGAATTCAAACGTAGGAGATGAAGAACAAAATTATCCTACGGGTTTGAATAATCAAGTACCACAAATTGGGATGAAGTTTGACTCTGATGATATGGCTTATGCATTTTATAGTGCATATGCACATGCACATGGTCTTGGATTCAGCGTAAGAAAGCAATTTGTCAAGCGAACTTCAACAGGAGAAGTAAAAAGAAGAACATATACATGTGCTAAAGAAGGCAAAACTGCCATGAAAAAGGGGAAGCAGGTTGCTTATGAACGGCCAATTACCAGAATAGGTTGTCTAGCAAAGATGACGTGCAAACTACAAAATGATGGTTTGCTTGAGGTGGTTTCTTTTAAAGCAAAACACAACCACGATTTGGCTCCCACTCCGATGAAGCATATGTTGAGATCCAATAGAAAGATCAGTGTTGCTCAGAAAGCTATTGCAGATGATGCTGAAAAGGCTGGGTTACCAATCAAGTCGGTTATTAATTTACTAGCGGTACAGAATGGGGGTCGTGAGAACAATGGATTTCTGGATACTGACTACTACAATTATATTGATTCTCAGAGAAGGGCTAAAATGATTAAGGGTGATGGTCAAGCAATCATGGACTGTTTTCAGAAATCACAATCAGATGATCCATCATATTTTTATTCTGTGCAGCTTGATGATGATGATCTTATTATGAATATGTTTTGGGCAGATAGCATGTCAATAGTTGAATACAAGCACTTTGGAGATGTTGTATGTTTTGATACAACCTACAGAATTAACAAGTATGGTCCCCTTTTGCTCCTTTCGTTGGAGTCAATCATATGAAGGAGACAATAATTTTTGGGGGAGCATCTAGTCAATTTGCTGGTGATTTTGGTGCATGTGTATATGATTATGAGGATGAGGATAAATGGTATGAAGCTTGGGATGCTATGCTTAAAAATTATAATTTGGAGAACAATGAATGGTTGCATGGGATTTTCTTGGAAAGAGAAAAATGGGCCATGGTTTATGGGAGACATATGTTTACTGCTGATATGAAGAGTACACAACGTAGTGAATCAATGAACAATGTGTTGAAGAAGTATTTGAAGCGAAAACATAACATGGTGTACTTTTTTGAGCATTATGGTCGCATGATAGAAGATAGACGGTATAAGGAGCTCTTGTCAGAGTTCAAAATGAGGAACACCATCCCAAGATTGAGAGCATATGTTGACGTGTTAAGACACACATCAGAGATTTATACTCCCAATGTGTTTCAAATGTTTCAAGAAGAATACCTCAAAGTTTGGGATTGTACCATTGATACGATTAGCAAAACAGAAGTTGAAGTGGTGTACAAAGTGATATATGTTGGTAGAGGTACAGAGCACCAAGTCCGATTTGATCTTTCTTCTCAAGGTGTTGAATGCAGTTGCAGAAAGTTTGACTTTGTGGGAATATTATGTGCTCATGCTTTGAAAGTTCTTGACAAGAAAAATATAAAGCACATTCCGAAGCAGTACATAATGAAGAGATGGACAAAGGATGCCAAAGATGGACAAATAAGAAGTTCAACTCAAATTCAAGGAGGGTCTAAGGAACTCATTGGGAAGCGTTACTTGGATCTTAACTACAATTTTCGAGAGATATCCACCCTAGCAGCCGAGAAAGACACTATGTGTGAGCATACATGTGGAGTTCTTTCCAAGTTGTTGAAGGATCTGCAGGAGATGAAAAAATGCTCACAAGGTGGAGTGTCTGATGAGGGATTATGCTCAAAAGGCGAAAAAGATTGTCCAATTGTAGCTGGAGTCAAAATCAAATCTACAGTTGCACAACCAAAAGGCAGATTGAAAAGTGCATTGGAGCGATGTAAAAACCATAAAAGTCAAACAAAGTCACAGTTTCTTTTTTCCTTTCTTTTTTGTTGCTTTAAAAGAATACTGTAATATGACCTTATTATACTACTATAATTATTATATTTCAAATAACATTATATGTAGGGTAAAAAAGTGAAAACAAGTTCTTCTCAACAACTTAAAAATAGTCCTGAAGTTCAAGGTAAAAATACTCAGGTAAATTGTTTTAGCTTGTCCTCTTTTGTTTAGAAGAAAACTATAGGGTAAGAAGAAAGCTGGTTATTCTCGACAAGTTGAGAGTTGTCCTGTGGTGCACATCCAAAATGATAAGGTTTGTTTGCTTCAACTTATTTTACATATAAAAAAACACATAGTACATTTGTTTTCTTTTATGAAGTGATATATATATATATATATATTATTTAATGATATAATTTTTAAACTTTTAGGCGGTCATTGCACAATATGAATCTCAGAATTCGATTACTATACCAATAAATATTATCCATGAAGAGCACATTGACTCGACAATATCTTTCAATCATATGGCATACACTCAATTGTTACAGGTATACGAAATAATAATAATTTTATTTATATTTTATCATTTTACTTATTACTATTTTAACTTGATGTCTATTTATCATTTTGCAAGATGCAATAGCAGATTCATATTCCGATGTTCCAAAATTGTGATAGTAACATCGACCGATTCATGAATTAGGACCTGAACTATCTCATAGAAGAACAGACAAGTCCCTTGATTTCTTAAATAAAGTGCAGCAAGCCATGATTGAACTCTACAATATTGTAATTTTATTTACATTCGTAAGCTTCATATCTCTTGCCAATTGCCATGTATGTATACTACTGGCACTTTTCATTTCAATTATAAAATAAACAAGCATTTTTTTCTCATCATTATGCTGCTACCCAGCTACTGTAAATGATGATCATGAGCGCAGCCAGGGCCGGCCAAGAGGGTGTGCTGGCCCTCCCTCAGGCACAGGGCCTCAGAATATTAGGGGCCTCTACTTAGATTCGATAGTTACCGATCGTATATTGTAGGTTGTATTTTTAGTGTATGATTGATTGATTATGAGTATGATGATGTGTTTAATAGATAATTTTAGCTATAATAACAATTGAAAAGGATCTCATGGAGAGTACGAAAATCTGAAAAATAATAGATAATTTTAATTTAAACAATATAGAAAGATGTTACATTTTGAATAATGTTATTATAATTATTTTAGTTTTATTATAGTTAAAGGTCGATTTGGACCACATCTAGATTTTGAAATAGGGCCTCCACGATCTAGTAGACAACCCTGCACCCACCTCTCGATCAATTTAGACTATTTTCATTTCTCCATTCAATTTTTGCGCTATATTCATTTTCTCTTCCTTCCAGATTTACTTTCCTGCCTATTAGGGCTGGGAATTCGGTCTTGGTTTTTTTGTCAAACTGGAAACGAGATAGTTTATTCCTGATGTAATCTTTTTCTGAACTTAAGTATTTTTTTACAATTATTTACTAATTTTTAATTTTGATAAATTTATGGGGAAAATTAGGACCACAATTTAAATTTTCAAACAGGGCCTCCGAATATCATGGGACGGTCCTGAACGCAACTACTGCTACCCACCAAGCAGCAAGCTTACAAGTAGCTACAGTGACCAAGAAGAGAACAAATTAAGAACTGAAGGGTAAGAAAGCTAGAACCACCGGTTAGTACTGACGAAACAAAACAATCCCTTTTATCATTATCAACTCGCTCTCTTTTCCCTGCGAAGAAGAAGAAGGGGGAAAAGGTGGACAGCTTTCTGAGGGGAAAGAACCAAAAAAGTTGTAGGGATTTGCATAAGAAGAGCATAAATAAGTTTCATTTCAGTTCAGGAATCACATTATTATTACAGAAGGCTAGAAATAGAGAATTGTCATTTTGCGGTCGACAGGCAGGGGGTGTGGTTAATTTCCGTCCATGCTGTTTTCGTCATATTTTATATTGTTTTTCTTATTCCAATTTTGGTTAATTTTAAAACAATAATAGAAGCATTTAAAATAAAGAGAAAGAAAGATAAAATAACCAATAGTGAACTGCCAAGTGGCAGGTTGGAACCTGTAGCTCCAACCAAGGTTAGAGCTAAAAATTTCTCCACATTGAGAGCACACATAGCAACCATCCATTGATTATCTTTTTTCCTCTCACCTCCTTCATGATAATTTTCTCAACCGATTTACTCGACATATCTTTTATAGAAACTTTGTAAGAGAGTGATATAAGATTTATAATTCATTTTCTCTCTATAATTCGAGTTATTGGGACCCAACAAATCATGATATAGCATGAGTCTATCAGAATTAGTTTGAATGATCGTGTCTGTTTTATTACCGTTGATGTTTTGAGTTAATGTCCTTATTTTGGGTGCGGGCCGAGTTAGGGGTGGAATTTTATTAGGGTCATTTAGGTTAGGTTGTTTCCGGGTAGTGTTCGGCTGTAGCTAATTTGAAGAATAGGGTTTCATAAAATATACATGTGTAGTTCCGCCATTAGACGATATGCAACTATAAAATTATACCAAGCACAAGTTATTTTTGCACCTTACACAATATTTTGTTGTTGGGGACGAGTATCTTGTTCGTGTTTCCATCAATCTTCTCGCACGGTACATCTAAAAAGACTTTCTTTAACCTTTTATTGATGACTACAAAGCATCAACTAACGAAATCCTTATCAGGATACACAAGACTCGTACGAAATTTTCAGGACCAATGATCAAATTCGATGAATATGATTAATGTACAACCAAATCAAATTGTTGGTATATAAAAAGCTTGGTTACCAAATCACTATTCACTAAGCGGTTAGGGTGGGGCCCATTTGATCATCTCCATGTTTTCCCTCTCCAAGAAGAAAGTAAGTAAAAAAGAATATATAAAACCCATGGTTACCAATTATCCTCTGAAACTAATCTTAAGGCTTAAGCTATTAACACAATCCACCCAATAATACAAAAGGCACATCCAATCATCTCTCTTTGCCTTCTACGTTACTCTTGGAAGAAAAGAAAGGAACAAATTGGAGAAAAAGAAGAAATAAGCATTCATCTTTCACCTCTTTGTTTGTATTTGATTTTGTATTATTTTTCATCTCTCTCGCTCGAACTCGAACTCGAATAAAAAGACAGAGCAGAAATCTCCCATTGTGTGAGTTTTTATTTTTTTCTTTAGCATAATACTTCATATTTACAAAAATACAAATTTTAATAACATATGAATTTAAGAACCCGTTCAGAGCTTTCAACCCAGTTTATATCAGAATGGAAGGATAACAACAAACCATAGAAACAAAACCACGATGATTCACCTTTATGAAAGTATAAAAGAATGGTTCAACCAAGATATCGAGTCCAATAATTTAACATAAGATGATTGCCTATCCATGGAGCTAATGAAAAGCAAGCAACATACATAATTGACATTAGATAGTCACTAATTTAGATAATGTTAGAGAGACATAAGATTTATAGCACATCTAAGACAAATAGAAATTAAACTGAATCAATGTACTTTCTCCTTCCATTTACCAGAAGTAGGTGCCTTAGACCATCCACATTTATGAAATATCATTTCTATTTCATATGCGGCCCATACTGCCACCTCAACAGCTTTTTCCATTCCATTACATATCACTTCCATTCTCTCTACATCCATGAAATCCACAATCTATTTCATATGGTGGGTCCAGCTTACTTTTTAATACACTACACATTTTATCTAACCTATATGATTTTACCAATTCAATACGTATCAAATAATTACATAACACAATCACAATTGCAAATGACAAATTACATAACACAATCACAATTTTAAATAAACACACATGCATAACGCAATTACTATTTCATATAAACACATGTAATAAAAATACATAGAAACGATAATAGATTAATCATCGTACTTCTCATCTTCTG